CTCACTCAAATATTTTTGTCCCCAATCTCTATTCTTGGTTTTGGAAAAGAATGGAGAGAGGTAAAGGGGAGGGGAGAATTCAGTTCTGTAAGAGAAGTAGGCCAAACTTGGAGTAGCTTTTATCAAATCTTAGCACATTCTAAATATAGGACATCCTGGTCAATAAAAGGGAACAGAAAATATTTATGTATTAACATTTTTTTCTCTACTTGAATCTCCCTCCTACCTACTCTGTGCTGGTTAGTCAAAATAAAGGATACAGGAAATTTTAAGGAAAATAGCAAAACTGAAAGGTGGATAAATGGTTTTGGTGTATTTATTGCATTCTATTTGCTTTCCCTCTTTTGGATTTCAAGGTCCTTGGAATCCAATGGACTTATTTTCCTTTTGCTATGAATATACAGTGTTTAATTCTTTCTGGATATCATTTCTTTGGGCTAACTTCTTCAGAGCTGTATGACTACATTTTGGGTTATCTTTTGTCCTAACCTCTTTTTTTTTTTTTTTTAAATATGTCTTTACTGATTTCAGAGAGAAGAAGGGAGAGGGGGAGAGAAACATCAATGATAAGACAGAGTCATTGATCGGCTGCCTCCTGCACATCCCCAACTGGGGATCCAGCCTGCAACCCAGGCATGTGCCCTGACCGGGAATCAAACAGCGATCTCCTGGATCCTAGGTCGATGCTCAACTGCTGAGCCACACCCAGCCAGGCATGCCCTAAGCTCTTTTGATCTAAAAGGCGTCACAACACCTTTCTCCAATAAGTTCTTTCACTGGCCACTTAATCTGTGTTACTCTTGTCTTCTCCAAAATATAATTAGCACCTTGAGGTTCTTGAGTCTGAAGTATACTTTTGCTACTTATGCTGTTCTTCCTGTTGGAAAGTTTTACTAATTTTTCTCTGCATATTACATTTGACCTGTCCTTAAAGATAGTTTATTTCCTCTCTTAAGTTTTTAAAATTTCTCTAGTTACTCTTGCTTGTGCACTACACAGTTGCACATCTGTGGTGGGCTGAATACACTTCCCCAAAGGTGTCCACTTTCAATTCCCCAGAATCTGTGAATGTTACCTTACATGCCAAAAGGAACTTTGCAGATTTAGTTAAGGATCTTGAGATGGAGAGATTATCCTGGGTTACGCAGGTGGGCTCAATGTAATCACATGGGTCCTTATAAGAAGGAGGCAATGTGGCAATGGTAGCAGAGGGAGAAAAGGCAATGAGATGAGCCATGAGCCAAGTAAAGTGGGCAGCCTCCAGAAGCTGGAAAAGGCAAGGAAATAGATTCTCCTTCAGAATCTCCAGAAGTAACCATCCCTGCTGACACCTTGATTTCAGTCCACTGAGCCTGATTTTGGATTTCTGAACCCCAAAACTGTAGGATAACAAATCCATGTTGTTTTAAGCTACCAAGTTTGTGGTTATTTGTTACAGCAGCAACAGGAAACTGATATGATGTCATTAACTTCCTTTACAGTCCCCTAGGTCTGTTCCACATAATTTAGCACTTTACTGCCATGCTGATTCTACTATGTATAAATGGTATAATATAAATTCCTGGTGGGCTTGAACCAGAATTTTTACCTCATCTTTTATACTCTGCAGTGCCTAGTCCAATCTTAGGTACCCAGCTATTTGAAGTGGATTATAACTTTGGTATGTAAAACAGACACCAGTGGGGAAATAAAGGACATTTTGAAAGACATATATAACTCAGTGAACCATGTTTACTTCCTTGCATCAAATCCTAACCTTTTGTTTTTGAGCTGTCACAAGCAGTGTTAGCTGCACAGCACTTGCTCAATGGAGGCTGGAACACGGAGGGTCTTTAACAAGCACCTGATGCATCGAGCTCAAACCTGTGGGAGTAAAGAAGGAAAACGAGAAAGAGAAAACCAAGATGGGTCTGGTAGAAAGTCCTCCTTGCCTATTTATCTGATTAATTTTTGTTACATTAAGTTAAAATCCTGAAAAAGAGCATTCATCAAACTTTGTAACATGAATTTTTCTTTTAAGCAAAATAGAAGAGAGGGAAAGGTGATAAAAATAGGGAGGGTGTGGCAGTTTAATTTCATCCATTAAATTTAAATAACCAGTATTTTAAAATCCAAGTAATATACGCAATACTACATTAAGAGCTAAAGAGGTCACAGACAACCCATAGGACATGCATCTACGCTAAAGGGCCTTAGTATCTAGTTGGGAAATAACAACAGTCAAGGATACCAGGCAGTTTATCAAGTGCCATCTTGTGTGATTCAGACAAAATGTTATTATCAATACTTGGATATTATCAATACTTGGAATTTGGGGCTGAAAAATTAATACTTCATTCAGCAAACATTTATTGAGAACCTTTTTATGGTTCTTTGTGAATAACAGTTTCTGTTTGGTGTTTGCAATCTAATAGAGAAAGTCAAGGGAAATAACTAATCCAGGAGTGGATTAAGTGCTAAATAGCAGGAGAATGCATTATATTGAGAAAAGGTTATTACTCTGATTCCTGAAAGTTGAAGGGGGAGGTAGAATTGTGAATGATTTTAAATTAAAGGTATTATTTAGGCTGAGCCTTGAAAGATGAATAGGATATTGAATAGAATATCCCAGGCTGAAGCATGAACAAGAGCACTGCAGACATTCCATGGTTGGATGGAACAAAGGATGCTTGAAGGGTAGTGCATTATTTTCCTATTCCCGTGGTAACAAATTGCCACAAACTTAAAGTGATACAGATTTATTATCTTATAATTCTGTAGGTCAGAAGTCCAATACAGGTTACAATGGGACAGAATTAAGGTGTCAGCAGGGCTGAATTCCATTCTAGAGGTTCTAGGGGTAAATCCGTTTTCTTGCTTGTTCCAGCTTCTAGAGGTCTCCACAATCCTGGCTGCTGGCCCCCTTCCTCTATTTTCAAAGCCGGCAATGTTGCAACTCCAATCGAATTTCATAGTCATATCACCCTTCTGACTCTCCTCTTCTGCCTCCTTTTCCAAGTTTTGAAGGCTCTTATGATTGATTATATTGGGCCCACTCAATAATCCAGGGTAATCTATTTTATGTTATGGTGAGGTGACTTGCAACCTTAAAATTACCCCTTTCGGTGAAATTTAACACATTATTAACAGGTTCTGAGTATTAAGAGTGTGGACATCTTGAGGCGGGGTCATTATTCTGCCTACCACAGGTAGTAAGGAATAACTACTCAGAAGGAAGCCAAAGGAAGGGGTGTGAATGCACTGCTAAGGGCAGTGGGGTTGCAGGTGCAAGTTTCTGAGGTTTGACATAAATTCTCATTTTTTTTTTGGCGAGCATCAGCAGCAGCATAGAAAACTGTTTAGACAGGCAAGTTTGGGGTGCAATATTAGGAGGCCACTATTACAGTCCAGGTGAGAGGGTCTAAGGTAGGAGAGCATAACTGATGGTTTTATTTGGTGTGAGGCTGCTTCTGCCTATTTCTAGGTGTTTTTCATCAAAATTTATGACATCATCCCACAGGATCTCAGCAACTGCAGTTTCTAGTAACACGGCTGAATCTGTTCCGGAGATGCTGCAACCCAGGCCATAAATCATTCGCCTACGATCAACAAGGGGAGCCCGGAATCCTGGCCAGTGCCCCAGTTAGCAAGGCTGAAGCTCACAGACAGCTAAACACTGAACTCTTTAATAGTCCCAATCGCAGGGAAGGCACGCGGGCCTTGTTCTTTTTTACATATGTTTTTTTATTGATTTCAGAGAGAAAGGGAGAGACAGAAACATCAACGATGCGAGAGTCATTGATCGGCTGCCTCCTGCACTGATCCAGCCGAAGCCCGGGCATGTGCCCTGACTAGGAACCCACCTGACCTCCTGGTTCATGGGCCCACGCGCAGCCACTGAGCCACGCAGTCCTGGGCCTTGAGGTGTTGCCTTCGGGCCGATGCAAAACTGAAAAGCTGCGCCGGGTCGCGGCGCACTGCGCCCGACTGTCGCCCACTTCGATACAAAACTCCCGCGAGAGCCGGAGCGGACGCTTCCCGTCCCCGCCCGCTTCTTTCCTTCCCGCCCGCAGTTCCCGCCCCCATCAGTCGACCTGCAGCGAGCCCCCCACATCGGACTCTACAGACCCCGCGACCTCAACCCGACTTCAACGTCAGCGCCGAGTCCCTGGAGCGACTGGGGTGGAGACCGTGGAGGAGACTGGAGGCGGACGGCGCTGGGGGCGGTGCCGACCCGCGGTCACGTGCCCCGAGCCCGCCTACTTCCGCTTCCGTTACTTCCGGGTGCGACCGCTGCAGCTGTCGGGCTGGGCGCAGGACGCGTTCGGTCCCTCTTTATTGTATCTGATCATCTACTTAACGGCCCCTTCCCTGTTCCCAGCGGGAGGGACATGAGTGTCCCCGGGCCGCCGCCGTCGGACGGGGTC